TTCGGATGAAAGAAATGCTTTTGGTTTTTTGGATCACTTTGAAAATTGATTTTATAACGGAAATTAGAAGGTCCGAGTTTCTTTCATTTTCAACTTTAAACGTAAACGTTTAAACGCAACCGTACAGTTTTAAATGTATCGAACTGACTTTCTTCAATTACATAACTGTGAGTCATACAGATGTAAAAAGTTGGAAGGTACAATACTTTGCTACAGGATTTTGTCGTGGGAATTTATTATATTATTTATTTGATGAAGATTTATGTCACAAAATCGATTAATATTTTCAAATGTATCCAATATTCGTTTCTGTTTCTGATAGCAAAGGGTTTCAGAATCTGTGATTAGAAGCCACCTAATGGAAGGTCCTTTAAAGTAACCAAGAATCAAAATGCAATTTGAATCTTTCATTTTTTCAGTGATTTAATTCATTGCTGATATATAAATAATATAAATATCAAATTATGATGAATGTGGAATAAAAGAAAAAAAAAAGTTACAAACAATTTTTTTTAACCGTCGGAGAAAACTAAAACATAATAATTAAAATTAGTGCTGCCACGTTTTGATAGCTTTTTATACCCTCCACCATACTATGAAGGGTATATTAATTTTGTCATTCCGTTTGTAACTCCTCGAAGTACTCATGTCAGACCCAACAAAGTATATATATTCTTGATCAGCGTAAAATTCTAAGACGATTTAGCCATGTCCGTCTGTCTGTCCGTCCGTCTGTCTGTCCGTCCGTCTGTCTGTTGTAATCACGCTATCTTTCGAACAAATTGAGATAGAAGGCTAAACTTTTGTACACATGTATATTTTGCCAGTAGGCAGGTTAAGTTCGTAAATGGGCCATGTAGGTCCAAGTTATCATATAGCCCCCATATAACGGTACCTCCCGATATTCGGTATTTTGATGATTTTAGCGACATTATTCGCCGGAATTGTTTCAAATTTGGCATTTAAAGTTCGTAATGGATACTACAGCCTAAGACAGAAAATTATCTGTGCAGATCCACGTCTTCGTGTAGCCCCCATATAACGGTACCCCCCGATATTCGGTATTTTGATGATTTTAGCGACATTGTTTACCGGAATCGTTTCAAATTTGGTATTTGAAGTTCGTAATAGATACTACTTCCTAAGTCAAAAAATGAGCCATGTAGGTCCACGTCTTCGTATAGCCCCCATATAACGGTACCCCCCATATTCGGTATTTTGATGATTTTAGCTACATTATAAACATATTTTTCTTCAAGTTTCGCATTTAAATATTGTAATAACTTATGATAAAAGTTGCCTATGCAGGCCCACGTCGTCGTATAAGCATTCGGTATTTTTAAGATTTTAACAGAATTTGTACCAAATGGTGGAGGGTATTAAAAGTTCGGCCCGGCCGAACTTACAGCTTTTTTATTTGTTTTTTTTTTTTGCAATAAATCTGGTCATAGAGGCAAATGAGGTAAATTGTCGGTTCTCTTCAGAAATTCTTTAATAAATGCTCGTTCAGGCCAAAATTCATTGAAAAGTTAATTGTGAATTTTCAGGCACAACAATTTTAAAAGAAGATCTCATTTCCGAAAATGCAATTCGAACATTATAACGCCTCGAAAAGTAATCTCCCTCCATTTTTGATTTGATATAAAAATGTATAGCATCAGCCATTGTTTCTGGTGCAAACCTGGATGCAAATACCATTTTTAATGCCGAAAGTCATAGATAATATTTGGGGTTTGCCAGTAGCAATCTCTGGAGGGATGGAATATGTGGGAAGTGATTTATTTAACACAAAGATGCGAATAAGAAACGAAATGATGGCAACTCTTTTTAGACAACGAGCTAAACAATGTGTAATGTTGCAACTAATTAGCTAATGTAACAGAAGAAACAGGACAAAAAGGACAAAAATATTAGCTGGAGTTTGGCAGCCGGCAGTGATTCAGATTAACCTGCCGATAGGCCAGGCAAAAGCAAAAGTTAATCATTCGCAATGAATCCCCTTGGCTTCTAAGGAAGGCCTCATCGGCCTTATCTGTAGCTACTTTAAGAATCACCCCGTTATTCTTAGTCAAGGAGTTTAGCAGACGTCAAGTTTCAGTACTAAGACCATCATTCTGTTTCTCAACAAGCTTCAGGATCTCCATTATAGGAAGTGGAATCCACACTGAAGCCACCATTCCGCATCTCCGAAGCAAGCACGGAGGCTAATCTGCTTCCTTCCCAAAGAGATTAAAGGCCCATAAATGTTAAAATTAGGAAACCTACCGATTCCTTGTTTTCGCAGGTAATTACCCCTATAAGTTAAGCTCGGCGAGTCCATGCATTCCGCTCTTCTACCTCATCCGTCAGGTAGATATACCGAAGCTTCCCATCGATCAATGATCCTCACTGACGAGCCCATTGGGGTCAGCCTGACCAATGACCGCTACTCTAAGGTCACCTGGTAAACTCCGTTGAGCAGATTGATGATCTTCCTCCAGTTTTGGGTCGAAAGCTTTCTGCGAAGCATTGCCGACAGAAACGGCTTTCGCCTTCCCTTTAGTGTGCTTCCCACTATCCTTTTTTGCCGCTACCGAACCAGAAGTCTGCAGTGATGCTGTCCTGACTCATCCTGATAAAATTTGATTTCTTTTCACTGCGTAACATTTATATTCGCAGAGCACACTGGGCCGCATAGTTGATCCCAGACCGAACTATAGCGTTATAAGAAGTCAACAAGGTATCCTCGTCCGCACCCCAAGTACCTTAAGGACCTTATTTCTACTTTTCATCTTGTCGCAGATAGCTGACGCTTGCGGGGACGACTTGAATATGCTGTCGAATGTGACCCTTTAGAATCTTGGGGTAGCTCGTGGTCAGTATTATATTTCCCTCGAACTGCGCATTTAGCTCTGTTCTCACCCCTGCAGACCATGTGATAAAGAGAGTGACAATTGATTTCGTGGCGGATATCCTCATATTCTTCGAGTGGAATGAAAATGTAGTTGTTTTGTCGGCGAGATAACTGCGGTCTGATACCTTATTGTTAATAATGAAGACACTATATAGGAGCCATGTTTACAGGAAATTGGGTTATGTGCCTTTTTATATGCACCATTTCCATAAACGGAATCAAATTCTTGCATTTTGGATTATTTAACGCACCAGATGATTGCATCATATTGGCTGCTGATGATGAAGCCTGCTTTCCGGCGGAGAAGTTTTCAGTGTCTTCTTCTGTTGGCAAATGCTATATTACGTCACTCTCGTTGATTTGGAACACAGGTGGGTAACTACAGCACAAAAACTCAACCATAACACATTCAAATGTAACCACTTATCACAAGTCTCATTGGAAATTTGTACTGCTATAGTTGCTGCACTCGTATAATTAAATAAAGCATATTCGACAAAAAAAGATATTATCGATAAGGATCAACGTGTGTTGGCAAATTGTTGTTGAATGTGAGTTAACCACATCCTTAGTGTCGATATTTTTGCCTTTTTTTGTTAGAAATTGATGTTTGTCCTCGCTAACTACATCTCCTTATCGGATATATATTAAGAGGTGACGGTTTTGTTGTTGTTGTAGCAGTAGTACATGTAAGTGTTTGCGTTCTGCTAATCTGGTTCAAACTCCAAGTTTAACAATTCGGCTACTTTAATGGGCTGACGTCACGCCCATCTTGATCAATTCGTGCCCAATACGAATTGAGACGGCTACACCATCTTGAACGTAATTCCGCCAAAACTACCTAGGCAGCTAGCGTTCTTCAGCTGCAATGGATGGGGGTGGACTCCGAGGACGGCATTCATTCTATAACTGCTGATAGCATCCGCGACTGCATCGGTATGAATGTCACTCAGACCTGCCTGATAGACTTCTTGATCTAGTTGGACCTCCCTCACTAGATCGTGTAAGACACGTCTGGATAAAGGAGTTATATCCACCAGATGATGGTTGAGATGACTCTCACGGTAACACCCAAGCAGATACTGCAACGAATTCCGGAAAGGTAGAGGTTAAACAGTTCCGGAGATATCACCCCACCTTGGGGAACTCCCTGTTTCACTCTACGTTCTTTGGACTTCTTGTTCCGGAATTCCACGTACGACTGGCGTCCAAATATATAGTTGATTATCCAACGTTTCAAACTTGGCCAGAGTGTGGTTCCCTGCACTTCCTCAAACAGTATGGCATGATTGACCGTATCAAATGCCTTTGATAGGTCAAGGGCTACCAACACTGTTTTATCACACGGCTTGATCAGTCACCGTTACGTCGTTAAAGTGACTGAGGTCCTATCATCCTTTTTTCCAGGGTTCGAGAGCGACTTAACCGTTACCCACAGCTTACTCATATCGGTTCCAATGTTGTAACACTTCAGATGGTCTAGCCACTTTTTCCTTTTATGCTCCTGTACCAACCGGTTGACTTCCACTGTCAAATCACTGATTCTAGAATCAGTAGGGTTGGTACGACGGAGATCATCACGCTCATTTGCTAATCCCACTGCCTTTGCTGGGAAGTTTGGACTTATCTCGGGTATTCGACCACCAGGTATATAGCGAGCGGCTGCAGCTTTGATGGTGTTTCGGAAAATCTTTTCTGCTACCCGAACATCAGAAGAGTTGGACAGTTCTCTGAAGTGGCGGTTGGTTAATTCCCTGAACTCTTGCCAGTGAGCTTTCCCATGTTAAGGAAAATGCGTCGTTCAGAGGTTATGAAATCGGGCGACCTGCTTATGAGACGATTATCGGGAGATAGTCTGAATCAAGAGAAATTAGGGATGCCAAGTCACGTCATTTATCACACCGGGTGACACTATGGTTAAGCCTGGCGTACTGTGACACTCTCTTCTTATTCGGTGGGGGCAGCATCTACACTAACAAAAAATTTATGAACATTTTAATTCTGCTATAATAATTACGAAAAAATCTATTGGGTTTATTTATTAGTATACTTTTTGTAAATATTTTCACTATGTAAGTAAGTAATAATAAAAAAATATTTATTCTAGGTTTCCCGTCGGTACAAGCATTTTGATTGGTTGCACGAGCGACTTGTAGATAAGTTTTGTTTGATACCTATTCCACCTTTGCCAGATAAACAAATCTCAGGAAGATATGAGGAACAATTCGTTGAACATCGACGCGTTCAACTTCAAGAATTTGTAGACTGGGTATGTAGACACCCAGTACTTTCTAAATGTGAAGTCTGGTATCATTTTTTAACGTGCACGGATGAAAAAGTGTGGAAACTGGGCAAAAGAAAAGCGGAGCGCGATACATATGTTGGTATAACATATTGTTGGGCAATATCTCCCCCGGAGAAGCAGTTGCTACAATCCTTCGTTGATTCTCAGATGGATAGTTGCTCACATTTTATTCATATGATGGATGTGTCTGTACGAAATTTGCTGGCTATATCAAATGATATGGCAAAAAAATGTCAATCGCAATCAAAAAAAGAATTTCAACGAATTGGTGATGGATTTTCGGATTTATCAAAGTCTCTTGCTATAGACGAAAGACGTGTCCCATCAGGTAATAAGTCACTTGCGGATTCCGTGTCCAAAGTAGGGGATATTTTTTGCACAATTGGCCAACATTTCGGAGATCAACCCAAGCTAGATTGGATTCCATTTTCGGATCGTTTACACATATATAGGTAAATTTAAAATATTACATATATTATTTTATTATTTAGTTCTATTCATTCTTGACCTTTTATCTTTATTTGATGATATTTTTCAGCTCAGTCTGTTCTATGTTGTTTTAATTATTTGTTCCACTTTCAGTAATAAACAAACACAAAGAACAAGTTGAAAACAAATATTTTTTCATTTAAAACGAAAAACTTGGGAACAGCAATTTATTGTATAATCAGAGTAATTTAAGATGATGTACATATTTTTTTTTTTTGCTTATGTGTGATGAAAAGGTAGAACAAAGCTACCCCCTAAATATTTGTTTCTTTAGGTGCTCCTATTTAGTTACCATGTCAGACCCTAAAAGGTATATATTTTCTTGATCAGCGGGTCCACGTTATCATATATCGGTATTTTAATGATTTTAGCGGCATTAGCAGGGGAATTGTTTTAAAATTCGTATTCGAAGTTCGTAAAGGATACTTCAACCTATGACAGAAAATGCTCTATGCAGGTCTAGATCTTCATATACCCCACATACAACGGTACCTCCCTTTTTTCTGTATTTTGATGATATTAGAGACATTATTCAACGGAATTGTTTAAAATGTCGTATTTGACGTTCGTAATGAGTACTACAACCTATGTCATGGCCTTTATGTTGCAGTGTCCTGTTATTAGGCCCACCACAAGCTTCAAGACCTTAATCTCCTTTCGGAGTTCACCGGCAAAATCTTTTTGAAGACATTACATCCCCTTCCAGTTAGGCAGTTCTGTTGAAATTTCCCAAGATAATGCTTATGCAGTACTTGGAAGAAGTGACATAAGGGTGGCTCCACTGAGCTCTCAATCTCTAGATCTACTGAATCAGATCCGCGTCTGGCCAATTCATTGCCAGATATGTTGCAGTGCCCAGGGACCCAACAGAGTTTAACAAACGATTTAACCTTTTCCAGAGCATTCCTGCATTCCATAACTGCCATGGATTTGATTGTAAATAAATTAAGAGCCTTCAGGGCTGCTTGACTATCGACATATATAGTCACCGGTCCGTCCAGTTCATTTATTCTATTTGCCAGCAGTTCTATGGCCTTCATGACAGCAAAGATTTCTGCCTGAAAAACGCTACAGTCGTTGTTTAGTTTGTAGGATCGTTGGACACTTAGACTTTCACAATAGACCCCAGCTCCCGTTCCACTTTCCATCTTTGACCCATCGGTATTGTACTCTTACGTTCGTGTAAAAGATTTAGTTGTGCTTTTACGTTTTTAATAAAAGACTTCTTGATAAATTAACAAACTTGAGCAAGATTTATTCTGGTTATTTCTGCAACTAAAATACGATACAAATATGATGTAGCGCGTTACTACTTGGAGTGTAAGACAATTGTGTTGTGTAGTGACTGAGTTGTCTGAATGACTGAAAGAGACTGAGTGTAGCTGAGGGTAGTGTGTGTGTATGTGTGCCTTCATAATAACAATGATGCTGGCTGTACAGGATGTCTTCGAGAAGTGATGCGTTGTGGAAGCATAACCGGTGATGATGGTGGAGGTGTAAAATCTTCTTCCGTTGGTGGACTAATGTTGAAATCTTCTAGTAGGATTTGAAGAGGAAGATTATCATTTTGCTTTGCAGGTACAACGTCGTGATCGGCTTCTCTTAGTCTGAGTTGATCTGCGTGACATCTCACGAGAATTTGTCGATTATTCACTGCGTGCGATATATTTGCTTCTTTCTGCTCCTTTGTATCCGCGATGCAGTTGTTTGAGAATTTGTTTTCTGTAGCATTCGGATACTATTATGCGCGTATTGAACATAAGACAATCATCTGTTATTGATATTGAATCTTGCCTGCTGAAGTATGGAACAATTGATAAATCTATGTTATTTTTGTTTTCTGACCAGCCGTTGTATACGTAGTTTGAAACTGTTTGTAAGGTTGGATTTTGGTTTTTGGTAGCAATTTGTATCATTTTGAAACTAACTGGGAGTGTTGATACGGCGTCTGCGATATCATCTTTTTCTAGTTTGATGGAAGCTATGATGTACTCATCTGATGGTTTTTCATGTGCGTTTATCAATCTTGACAACGCCTGCGTATCCAAAATCCTTAGTATTGGTATATTTTATATCGAAAGGTGTAACCTGTTTGCAGTATAGACCGGAATACCTTTTTTGGAATCAAATATTGTGAGCAATGGTTTATGGTCGGTATGTAGGGTGAATTTTCTTCCGAAAATCATTTTGTGGAAACGTTGTACGGCGAAAACTAGTGCTAGTCCTTCTTTTTCGATTAACTGTAATTTCTTTCCGTTGGAGTAAGTGATCTTGAGACGTGATGAATGGCTTTGGCACTGTTGTCTGGGTAAGTATGGTATATTACCGCTCCGATGCCATGTGATGATGCGTCCGCTGCAATGTGAATTGGCAGTGATGGGTTGTAATGAGTTAGTAGTAAATCCGATTTTAGAAAGCGTTTGCATTCGTCGAGAGATTGTTGACATTCTTTGGTCCAAAGGAATTTGTGATCGTTTTTTAAGAGATCATCTAGTGGTTTTCGGATATTTCTCATATTGTAGACATACTTTCCATAGCGGTTTATGGAGCCTAGTACTTCAGAAATGTTTTCAGGGACCTTGAGATTCTGTATTGCAAGAATTTTGTCTAGATCAGGGCGTATGCCGTTTTTGTCGATGAATTGACCTAGATATTTGATGAATTTTAATCTTGAATTTTCTGTAATAACAAATTAAGATTAGTTTTGTTATCGTGAAGATATCTGCTTGCCAAGACTAGCTCATCCATGATTCGCTGGAAGAATCCTGGTATTGATTTAAATCTGTATAACCCTTTGTGAGCATTAATAGTTAGTAAGTCTTTGCTTTGGTCGTCGACTTCTACTTGAAGATATGCGTCAGAGAGATCCAAATGACTAAATATCGTGCAATCGTGACAGTATAATAGAATTTCTTCAGGAGTAGGCAAAGGATATTGATTTGGTTCAATTGAATTGTTGAGGCCTGTAGAATAGTCTGCACAAAATCTAATTTTAATGTTCCTTCTACTCACGACTATTGACGCTGCAATTTGTGAAGAATTGACTGGTGTGACGATGTTTTCTTTTTCAAGTCTATCTAGCTCTGTTTCTATGTCTGTTCTCACGGCGTATGGTACTGGACGTTTTGCAATGAATGTTTCTTTTGCGTCTGGAAGAAGTTTAATATGCACTTTGATTTTTGTACAGAGGCCCAGACTGCTGTTATCGAAAACAGGTTTGTACTTGCTTCTCAGGTTAGATATGTATTCATCGTTTGATATTTGGCGACACCAAGCCGAAATTGGTTTGTCCCAAATGTTAAAACTTTGTATCCAGTCGATACCCATAATATTTAAGTTATCGATTTCCGTGACGTAGCATTGTAGAGTTAGCGTTTTGTCTGATACCGTTGCGTTGCATTGACACTTACCGATTAGGCTGATGCTGTTATTATTTACGTCTGTTGCAGTATCATTTGTTTTGTGTTGGTGTGGTTTACCTATAGATTCCCATGTTGATCGTGATATGATTGAAATATCAGATGCTGTGTCTATTTGTAATTTGACTTGTTTCTCGTTTATCTCCACTGTAGTGTATTTTCGCAATTGTTGGAATTGGAGTTGTTTCGATCAGAAAACTGCGTTGGCGTTGTATTTTGTTTTGTCCGACTTGACTTTGGATTTGTCTGTAGTGGACTTGCCTCGTTTTGCACTTTTGCAAAAGTTATCCTTGTGACCTGTCTGCTGACACTGTGAACATTTATGATTTTTAAATGGACAGTATTTTGAGTTTTGCATATCTCCGCATAACCAGCAGGGCGTTTTAGGAATTTTATGGGAATGCTTGTTGTACTTGGCGAATTTCTTAACTGCGCAAATTGATTGCGATTGATGCTCGATCAATGTATTGTCTGTTTTCAAATCTATGAGTCGTTGAGTTTCCTCTACAAGAGTTTAGAGTTGTGGAGTCCTTTGCTTCGTCTAGCAATTTGAGTAAACGTAAGCGAATGTCGTTGTCTTTGCTTGATTGTAAACCTAAGACGTAGATTAGACACTTGAAGAGTTCGCACTGTAAGTTGACTCTACCGGCGTATTCCTTATAGTCTTCTCCATCAAGTTTTTTCATTTGTAAACACTTGTAGCGTTGAGACACTTGAGTTTCTACCTTACCAAATAATTTGTTAAGTTTCTCTAGGGTGTCCTTGAGACTCATTTCTGTTGGATTCTTTGGAAGAACGTAGTTCCTGAATCTTTCGTGAACACTGTTTGACATCTTTCTCCAGAGTAACGCAACTTTGTCATGATCGTCCAAGGATTGGGCTTCTTTCTCGAAAACGTGTTGGTAGCGGTTGTACCACGCTTGGAAAATTAATCCGCTCTCCGGTTCATAAACGAAGTCTGTCATGGAATGCGAAAGAGATTCCATTAATGCTGCTTTGAAGTGCTGGAACTCGTAGCATTGTTGGTGTTTCCAGTAATCTGTTCTTGAAGTAGATTTGTTAATTGTTGTAGTAACTGGGTTTGAAGATTCATAGCCGTTTGCTGTTCAGTTAGTAATTTCACAATGTTATCGCTTGAGCAAGATTTATTCTGGTTATTTCTGCAACTAAAATACGTTACAAATATGATGTAGCGCGTTACTACTTGGAGTGTAAGACAATTGTGTTGTGTAGTGACTGAGTTGGAATATAAGTGACTGTAAAATCCCTCCACAGCGATGGAATGTGAGGCAAGTCTTAAAAATCACCTCCAGGAATGGTATTATTACCATCGATGCATGCTGTAGCATGGAGGGAATAATACCATCTGGTCCCGGTGACTTGAAAGGTTTGAATGAGTTTATAGCCCACAAAATCTTGGGAGCGCTTACAATCCTCTCAGTCAGACTCACATTCTCCGCCCCACGATGCTGACTAAACCGATCTAACAATTGGTCATTTACCGCATCTTAGCAGTTCGGAAAGTGAGTACTGGCTAACAAGTTGAGTGTCTCTAGACCAGAGTCATTCTAACTTCCGTCATTCCGCTTCATGCATCCAATGGATTTGGGGTCCTTTGAAATTAATCTACGGAATCTGGAGGCGGCGTTGACATCTGATATGGGCTCAGTACAGCAAACAAAAGACCTTCGTTTTGCTTTTTTAATCTCACTGTTCTACCTGTTGAAGGCTGATTTATAAGCCTGCCAGTCCGTACCCAGTTTGGTCTTATTGGCTCTATTATAAAAACGTCTGATTGTCTTCCTGAGCTGGGCTAGGTCTTTCGACTACCAGACAGGTTGGCACCTTTTGCCGGGGAAGGTAAGCGGACAAGTTCTTTCATAGCACCGAATCAGGATTTTTGTTATCAAATTCATCTGAGACGGAGTCTACTGGAAGATAACCAGTAGATCTCAGCTTTCATGCAGTCTGTTTCGTAAATTTGTCCCATTGAGCCTTTCTCGGATCATATGCGGTTTTTTATGCAATACCTCTACTGATACCTGGAATGTTATCTTCCGGTGATCCGAAAAGGAACACTCGGTGGATACTTTCCAACTCAGTATGAGTGACTCACCCATGTTAGTAAGGGTGGGATCAATGACCTCCTCAATATTCTTATTTTGAAAGTAGCCTCATTTCCCCTATTACATATTTTCAGATTATGTGTAAAAATAAAATAAAAAATGGACTCACCTCTTGCGAGCGTTAGCATCACATCCAACGACGAGATTTGCTCTGCTTTCCAGCTCAGTGAACGGTTTCTTTACTACTTGTCCTGGCGGGTCCGGGTACACAAAGGGTAGGTAGATGAAGACAAAAAAGGGTACCCTTCCGGCACGTGACTCTGATCTAACCGCCGTGGCGTCTCCTCCGCTGAAATTTTTTTAGAAAGGTTAAATTTAAGTTCTTTTAGCGACGATACACGTTTCAACCTTTTCTCCATTGGAGGTGGAATAGGTGATGTACCGTTCACTCCCTAGCCCAATCACCCTATTTTTGACTATATAAGGTTCCTGGACTAGGGCTATGTCTACTCCAAATTTGGTGAGGGACACGAGAAGCTCAGCCGCGGCTACCTTGCAGTGGTGCAGATTAATCTGCCCAACGTTAAGCAAATGCGGCTTCCTTCTTCCTGCTGCGACGACGGCGTTATATGGAACCGAATCCATCCTGTGCCAAAGTGCAGCTTCCCCAAACGCGACTGAAGGTATTCATGGCCAACTGTATCGATGAATACCTTGACGACCAGGCCTCCTCCCTCCGTGTTGGAGACAACTAAACGCCAGATGTCCGTACTGAGGTTTGGATTTTGTTTGCCCAATATTGTCGGATCCACTGATGGAGGTGGCACCCATTCTGTCAATATTTTCCTACAGGAAATTTAGGGATACAGCGGCAAGTGTACTTCCATCCCAGAGCCCTTGAAAGCCAGCTACTGCGGTTACGAGGAAGTTTTTGGACGGATTAATGTCACATGAAAGAAGTAGGTCCACGCTTTGAAATGAGCTCCATTAGGCTTTTTCGGTCATTTTTGTTTGTTTAAATGTGTTCGAATCTTCCAGCTGAACCACGATGGAGGCCCTGGAGTTGAAAGGTAGATGTCAGTTAACATCCTATTTCGCACTTATTTCATATTTTTGGTGAAAAATTGTATATAGTGAAAAATTATTCTTTATTTTGTTCACAAAAATTTACTGAATTCAATATGATAATACAAATTGAAAAAAATTGACAAAAGAAGAATAACAAATTAAACCCATTAGCAGCTTAGATTGTGCATTAGAGTTATGATCGATATCAGGACTTACAAAGCGATTTAAGGTATCTTGAATGTTTGCAAAGAATTTCTGGAAGGATAGAAATCCTTTTCTTACTAAAAGTCCCATTCGCTCTACTATTTTGCACCCTTTATATTTGGTATTGTACTGATTGTACTCCCAAAAAATTTTGCATTTTGAGCTCTCATTGGACGGATTAATGTCACATGAAAGAAGTAGGTCCACGCTTTGAAATGAGCTCCATTAGGCTTTTTCGGTCATTTTTGTTTGTTTGAATGTGTTCGCATCTTCCAGCTGAACCACAATGTAGGCCCTGGAGTTGAATGGTAGATGTCAGTTAACATCCTATTTCGCACTTATTTCATATTTTTGGTGAAAAATTGTATAAAGTGAAAAATTATTCTTTATTTTGTTCACAAAAATTTACTGAATTCAATATGATAATACAAATTGAAAAAAATTGACAAAAGAAGAATAACAAATTAAACCCATTAGCAGCTTAGATTGTGCATTAGAGTTATGATCGATATCAGGACTTACAAAGCGATTTAAGGTATCTTGAATGTTTGCAAAGAATTTCTGGAAGGATAGAAATCCTTTTCTTACTAAAAGTCCCATTCGCTCTACTATTTTGCACCCTTTATATTTGGTATTGTACTGATTGTACTCCCAAAAAATTTTGCATTTTGAGCTCTCATTGGACGGATTAATGTAATCTAAGCTGCTAATATATATATATATATATATATATATATTAGCAGCTTAGATTGTGCATTAGAGTTATGATCGATATCAGGACTTACAAAGCGATTTAAGGTATCTTGAATGTTTATATATATATATATATATATATGTATATATATATATATATATATATATATATATATATATATATATATATATATATATATATATATATATATATATATATATATATATATATATATATATATATATATATATATATATATATATATATATATAGGTAGATTAGAAGTTTGCGTGGTCAGTTCCTTAGCCCCCAAATAAATCCCTAGGGTTGGAGGGAAAGTCAACAGTATCTCGTGTAATAATTTTTTTTTTAAAAACCTAACTCGGGGTATGACGAACGTTTGTACAAAATATTATGTGTTAATTGCTACGCTTATAACTCAAGAACCGCTGATCTGACATTAACGATTCACACAAAATAGGAATTGTCTCTTGAAGAAATAGATATAATCCCAAAAAAATCGCGTAAAAATGTGAAATTTGAAAATTTTTATTTTGACTTTTGAGGTGTACAATAGTAATGTTTTATTTTGCATGATTTTTTCCATTTTGACTTACTATTTTGGAATGTACATTTGTAGTGTTTTTTTTTTTTATTGAATTCTAATATTATATGTAGACTTTTTGGGTTGTATAAAGCGACGACAATTATGGAGTGGCGGACCTAAATAGATGATGTCAAAATAATTTAACGTGGTCAAACCAAAGTTAAAGAATAATTACTTTATTCAAAATTGCTAAAAAATCAAAAAAACAAAAAAGAAGAGCCTATTGCATTGCAAAAACTCTAAAATCGGGAAAAAATACAGAACCTTTTTTCAATGGAATCAAATTTCAAAATAATAGTAAGGACCAAACTTCGTAAGGACCTTTAAACATTCGCTGTAAAAACCTGCGAACAAGTTGAAGATTTTTTTTTTCAATTTGTTTATTAGTTGCTATGCTTATAACTCAGAACGATTTGACGGATTTTCAC